GCTTGGAGAATTTAGTAAATGGATGTGACTGGAGATGAGTGAGAGAGTACTATACATGGCTGTAGATAGTCCTTAGTCAGGATGAATTACAGAAGTCCTGGTTTAATGAGATAGAAACTTGCCTAGGCTCTATTTCACTATGAGTTTAGTGCTGACTTTGGAGCTGGTTCTGATGAAAGGGCTTCTCTACCTTGCATCTGTGAAGAGTCCTGTTTGATTCACTGGTTTGGGTATTTGTGTATTTATGATATTCTTCTTGGGACATATTGTCTTGATAAACTCCCCAGGACCCAGAATCCTATCTCTAAACCACAGCACTGCAGCTTGAATCGTATCCCATGCTACCTGACTTTCCCATGTATGGGCTGGCAGAGGTTACCACCTGCTGGTCAGTGGGTCTGAAAAAAGGGGAGCAATATGGCTCTGCCCCTTTGGCCACATTTTGTAGATGAGTTCACTCTAAAATTCCTGCCTCTCTTTCTTCATGCATCTATCTTTAAGTCTCTGTTTTCTCAGGAATGTCTTGTCTGGGAGTTCACAAAATTAAGCTTTTGGGCTGGGGTGTAGCTCAGTAGCAAAGAACGTGTCTAGAATTCACAGGGCCCAGGGTTCGATCCCCAACACAATAAAGAAAAACAATTAAACTCTTGTTCTAATGTAGTGCAGTGGAGGCTTCATCAGTCTCTCTATATCTTGACCTTAAAATTACTAAAAGTCCAACTAATTATGTTAAAGAAATGCATGACCTCCATTTGTGGCAAATAAATATTTGTAAATGTATTAGGCATCTTACCAAATTTATACATAGGCAGTATCATCCCATCAAACTTGGGGTTTTGAAAAAATGTGTTGGCAGGCCAAAGAATCTAACAATACAAATTCCATAAACATTTCTTTTTTTTGGTGGAAATGGGATTTTTGGTATGAGCCACTGTGTCTGGCTCAACAAACATTTCTTGATTGTATGCTTTGTACAAAGGCAATGTTCCAGGCTCTAAACGTGAGCTCTGGGGAGGCAGATAGGGCAACCAGCTCTTGGGAGAGTTACATGAACCAAACAGACAGTTGCTGAAGGAAGACTACACTCTCTGAGAACCAATATATTCCTAACATCACAATGAGCAAACACTGGGACACCTTTGTTGACTATGACTTCGGGACTATAATTACCCAAAGTCTCACACATTTCTCCATCTTTGATTCTAACAATATTCTTCTGTCCTCCCACCCTCCCGCCCCATACATTGCAAGGGACACAAATCAATGAACTCATTTTTTTTTCCCCTGAAGATCATCCGTGCCTCTGCTATGACCTTTTCCAATTGCCTGGACCTTGTTTTGTGGTCACCTTACTTCTCTGAATCTTTTCTATACATTATAAACCAAAGAAGGTAAATCTGGAAATTAACACTCAAGCTAGTCAGTTTACTATTGATTTCTCTTGTAAATTTTTAGAGATGGATAGGGCTTAAAATCATTTTCCTTCTAACTTGCATTATTACCCTGGTAATATTACTTCATTCTCTTAGATGTCATGGGCAGATGGGCACTTAACTTAAATACCAACCAACAGGAAGCCTTAAGGATAGTGAAGATGGGATGCTTTTCCAAAACCCATTTATTTCCCCTAATGAGAAGTTCCCTAAAGTCATACTAGCAAGGATCAAATGGTTGTACAGAGAGTTATTTTGAATTTATCAATGTGAAATATGAAACTCAGGTCTGAGGAGTTAATTTTCTTTTAAAAAACTATTAGTGTTTTCGATATATCTTTTTTTCCTTACCATTTAACATATATAACCCAGCCTAGACTTTGTGAGAGGAAATAAATGTCCCAGGTGTAATTTGCAGCCTAATATGAGAACTAGTGCTGGAATCAATCTTCAAATTAAGCCTGGCAGTGTTTATACAGGTGAACCACTACTTTTCAGTGTATTTTGCCTTGTCACCACACTGGCCTGAATTAAAAACAATCTTTGTACTAAGTCTGACAAGATAGTAACAAGCCGGCAACTTCATTTACAGTAATAGGTGATTCACAAGCAAGATGTTGACAGGCTTTATGATTATAGATTCCAAAGATCCTGGTCTCACAAAAGTGCCCATAGAGATTGATAGATATATAAAAAGAATAAAAATAGAAGAAAGACATATAAATTTGCTTTTTTATTAGCACAAATGATGAAAAGGTTTGATGCCTACCTAGCACTTTGTTTTCGGCTAGCTTTTTATTTCATTGTCTTTCACTTGCGATCATGATTTTTGTGAGAAATCATTAGTAAAGAGGCTGAGAAGTAACTAGAAAGATAGGTGGCTGGAAATGAATGTTTCCTCAAACTTTTATTACCCTTCAGAAATATCTACCTGAAATGTTAGTTCCATAGAATCAGTGAAGCAGTGCAGAGGACAGAAGCTAGGACTGTTATTAATTTTTTAAGACTGGCTGACAGCTTTCAGTTCAAGAACAAGGCTTAACTTTGCATTTTGAATAATGCAGAGATTTTTATTGGCTCAAATAGGAATCATAATGATAAATGATACATTGTCTGCCAAAATACTGCAACACTGTATTATATTTGAATTTACTTTTCAGAATAAACTTTCTGGGTGCATACTTAGACCAATTGGAAAGCTACCAGTATTGTTTCCTTATTTTGTGTTTAAATTTTGGAAAAAAAAACTGAAGGACATGTGCTCCTGATGGGGTGGGGGGTTGGAAATGTCACGTCCAAAGGGCGGCACATTATGGCACCTAAAAGCTGAATGTTGGCACAAATTGTACTAATCGATGAGATCATTGCAATTGGCTGTAGACCTTACTTTTTACTCATATCTGCCTTCTGAAGACCCTGGGACAATTTAATTACCTCTGCACTTTTGATTCTTGCTTCTTTCAATAAAACTGTAAAATTGCCATTGACTGAGAACTATCAGACTAAAAGGTTTGTGATTACTTTTCACTGTCGTCTCTCTTCCAGCAGATTATCATGTTAAGTTGGGCACATTCACTTTGTTTTGAGCACCCAAGGCTCCTTTTGACTCTAAGTATTATTTGAATTGATGGCAGCACAACTACTATATCCAGATATATCTCAGTAACTTAATGTATGACCCTAATAAGAAACACTTGAATTAAAACATGAATAGACTAGGCTACAAGCAGCTAGCTGCTTCAGTCCTAGTTTGATGGGCATTAAAATAGCTGATTCAGAGATTTCTATAGTGAAGCTTAACTTAATTAAAGGCATCAAAGTCAATGGAACTACAATATCTGTCAGTAGCAATAAAATCTATGTATACTGACATCATTGTTCTAAAAGAAGGTGGATAGAAGGTCAAAAAACGTTTGTCCAGTTTATATGAACTTCTTATTTTGCATGCCATTTTGTGTTTCCTGGTTTTACTTAAAATCACAAGTCTCAAGGAAAAGTTTCATTTTTTAAAAAAATATTTATTCTATTAGATAAAAGGAGACTAATGACTATACTTTTCTTCTCCCACACAATAAAGTAGCCTGAGTACTGGCATCTTTTGAGAGTCTCCAGCCAGTTCAGTGAAGATTAAAAGAAAGAGGCCTGTTTTTTGTGAGGGAAAGGTTGGGAGTTACCTACTCAAAAGTATTTTATTAGAGTTTCAGATGAGATTTGTCAATGTGTCAATTTTTTGAAGTCTTTATTCAGCCCAATTTCCAGTAACTTCTTTAAGGTCCCAGTTCCAGGTAAAATCGGTCGTGCTCAACCGAATTGTTGCTTCTGGCTGCAGCTTACTTTGGCTTGAGTTGAAGCATGCTGCCAATTTTCTGTACATTAACTTTGTCAGATTGTGGAACTACTAATGGAATTTGTGAAGTCATAACTTTTGAAGTTAATCTCAAAGTGAAATGTGAAATGTGTTGTCATTACAACTGTACATTTGTTTTAAACAACTGTACTTTTGAAATATCAGAAACTCTCTGGTTCATCTACCATTAAAAATATATCCTCAAATACACATAAAACATGATGGAATATGTTTGCATGTTTTCATTGCCTGATAAATTTTATATCAAGGCCTAATATTTCTCACATTTGGCTCAGTAAATTGAGATGAGATTCTACTTCATACATCACCCACTGCGTCTATTTTATAAGGGAACATTCATCAGATCCTTTTAAAGTCTGATTCTAGAAAGAAGATATTATGGCTAGATATATATTCTCATTTTATTAAAGGACCCATTTTAAACAATTGAGGGAATAATTTCACTGATGAAACCAAATCTCAGTTTGGATAAGTATGACTTATCTAAAGTAATTTGTTTTTTAAAAATAAATTAAAAATTTCTTTGCTATTACATGAGCCTGTAAGAGAGTTGTGTGAGAAATGCTTTGTACATTGGCAGATGTTCAATAAATGTCAGTTATTAACCTATGTGGCTAAATCCCTAACATATAACTTCTGGCTATAACATGACTTTTATTTGGATGCTACAATATGACTTAGCTTCTAAACATTCCATTAATTCTGTTTTTAGTATTGCTTGTAGTTTTTTTGCATTCTACCTTGAAGATTGTAATTTTAGTTTTGCATAACATTTTATGTAGCTTATATACATATAGGTCTTGCTATAATGCATTGTGTTGATATTGTCACTATTAGTCAGATATTAAAATTCTGTCAACAGCATAGGCACAATTGGTGATGATAAAATAAGCTCTGATTACCTACTCAGCATATTGCTTAGGCTCTGCTGAAGAGGTCCTAAAGCAAGGTATGACAGCAATACTTAGGCTTCCGAGTCTCTGGCCATGCTCCTATATAACTCAGATTGCAAGTTTCACTATTTAGTGCCTCCTTATTTGTGTGCAGTTTAGTTTGTCATCCTTTGATTATAACTTTGTTATGCTGAGTTCAATCATTTTGGATTCTGAATATGAAAGATTTCATAGCCCTATAATGATTAGTTTTGGATGATTTATGTCATCCAATGTGAACCTATAGGGAGGAATAACAGTACTTACAGGTGTCTTCTTCCTCCATTGAAATACTGATCACATAACAGGCATACACAAACCCAACCAACTGTAAAAAAGAAAAAATGTTCTGTAAGAAGTTGTGCCAAATGTTCATAAATAGCTTATATAATCCAATAGATAAAGGCAAAGAATATATATATATAAGTAACTTATAAAACTTTAATTTAAAAAATCTTATTTTAAAAATAATGGCAGTGATTTCAAAGAACCTTTTAATTTCTATGTTACCTTACTAACTTTCTGAAAGCACATAAGAATGGGAAAAAATTTCTAGATATTTCACTTAGATTTTTTTTAGGTTTTTACTATTTATAGAATAATTAGTTCTACATTCATTATTATTACAACCATCTTAATATTTAATAGCCACAAAAGAAACCAAAATGTGCTGCTTATAAATTAAGTAGCAATAATCTACTTAATTATTTAAAATGCTGTGAGAGTATAAATTATATCTATTACTACCAAATTGTTTTGTTAATTATATCATAAGAAAGTGCATTAACTTTCTGGTGATTAGTTAGCAGAAAAGTAAAATAGAAAAAATAATTTATACTTTGGATACTAGTTGTTCAAAAATAAATGTAAACACAGAGTGCAGCCTTTATAGCTTTTCAAATTGTTTTCTGCACTTATTATGCTGAGAAGATGATTTTTATTCCACAGAGTCAGAGACACTGCAATTCCTGGAGGACAAATTGCCAATGAATATAGTCTAGTCTAAAATTACTCTAAGTTCTTTGATAGCTGTGAAAAATCACAACCTCAACAGCTATACTAGTCTGCCTTCATGGCATTCCCCTCCATTGCTAAAGCCTGTTTCCTCTCCCCATCCTCATTATAAAGTAACATTGGGAAGGAAATTTTTCTGATAGCCCCACTGTCAAAGGTTGAATTTCACAACATAGAGAACAATAGATTTGGGACTTCCAAGTTCCCGTGTGGTTTTGGACCTGAATTTATAATCCTCCTCAAGACTATATAAAGTTCAACACACCCTGAGAGGCTGAAAGGTTAGGAAGTGAAGTCTTACAAGAAGGACTTACACAAGGAGCTGCCTGTGTACTGGCAAGTCCTCCCACCTCAAGGGCACTGTCCCTCATCTCAAGCCATGTGAGGGGTTGCTTCAGAGATGCACTTGGGGACCTTGGCCTCTCTTGTACTTTGGGGAAAAAGGGGGCTTGGCATCCAACAGTTAGAAGAATCAAAATTCAGGGGGCTTTGGCTAGTGAGGTTCCTGTCTGAGTGTGTGAACAGACAGGACTGGTGGACTTGGCAGCTTAGGAATGGGGAGATCTAGGAGTAAAGCCTTTGGAGAAAGCTTCCTATGCTGTTCTGAATTGGCTTCCTACCGGAGGCAGGACCTCAGAAGAAGAATGTCAGTACTTTTGGTACAAAAGGTGAGTAGTGGTGTTATGTGTCTAACCAGAGGACTAATAATTCAGACAGCATCCTCAAGGAGGATTTGAGTGGGGTTCTGAAGAATGCACAGAATCACTCCCAGGAGGATGTCAGCCTATGGGAACTGTCAAACCCAGAGAGCAGCCCCTGCTCCATTACATGTGGACCAGTCCTATTAAGACCTACTCCTAACTTCTCCTCCTATCAGCACTCCTTCTAATTCATCCCTGAATTAGAAGAAGTTAGAGAAGTTAGTGAAGAGTGGAGTGAGAAAAGGAGAAAGCTGCTATATTTCTCTTTCTCACTGCAGATTTGCACATTGAAATCAGGGTCAAGCTGAGGAGTCATCTTTAGTGGGTAAGAGTTTACATCAACCTGGACAGGATAAGTTAATATCTCTGAGGGGTTAAAACAACTATAAATTCAGCTTGAAATAGGATCCAAAAGTTGAGATAAAACAAGGTCACAGATTGTACTTACAGAGGAAGTGGGAGAATGAATAAAACTGCCTTTTGATTCGATTCTATCAAGCCAGCCTCACTCAGTAAAGCAGTTGCATACAGAAAAAAGAAATAAACAAGAGCTGGGTTCAAGTATGTCTTTCCTTATTTATAAAGAAGAGATTTGCTAAGTAAGTGAATGGTGTACACAAAATTTATTTGAAGGGAAAAATTTAGCCTGTTGAATCCTACTGTAAGCAATTATGTTTTTCAAATATTTGTAAGCACTCCTGAAAACTATGTATTCATAAATCTGATTGGCAACCATTCTTTTATGTATTCATTGAAGGTAACTCCCTGTGGACACCTGCTAGGAAAGGCTTTGCTATCCTAGGCCTGGTTGTTGTGTATATTTAAAAATAGTACACACTGTACATCTTTTTCAACAAGATGAGGTGAGAAATGCACATACATGTGTGTTTATGTGTATGCACATGTAAATATTTCAAAATCTCTGTTTCCCTTATCTGAAGTTCCCTGCCTCTCCCCAGCAACTTCACAGGGAGTAAAGGTGGAGTGCTTACATAGCTGACCAGGTCAGACAACTCCTACCTTACCCTGAAGGTTAAACTCAAGCAAGACCTTGGTCATCCTTTTAGGAGGCTTAATCATGCAGAATGCATTCTCCATTTCAGCTGCTGAAAGAAGAATAAGGTCAGGCAAACCCTAAGCAACGCATTCAGATCCAACACAATTTTGTCCTAACCACATCTTTCCTTTGCAGCATCTGAAGAAGAGTGAATAAAGAATTTTTTGTTAAAAAAAAAAAAAAGAAAAAAGAAATGGCCTATAATCCCATCACCATAACTTCTTAATGCATTTTCTCCCAGTCTTCTTTCATATACTTGCCAAATATCATATTTATACTATTATGACCGAAGTTAATGTTATTCATAAGCTTAATTATTGACTGCATAAATTTGCATCATTTAAATCTGTAGTAATACATTTAAGCAATATTCTGTTATTTAAAGTCATTTTCAAATTACAAATCATACTATGACAAATAATGCTTTTTCTCTCATTCCAAGAGGTAGATACAACAGCAAAAGTATCATTAAATATTTCTATCACATATTTAGCGAACCGGTTCTCACAAAAGTTTGCATCATGTCTTTCTGGTAAGAACATTCAAAATCCTGCCTTTTAGCTATTTTGAATATTCAATACAATAAAAATGTGAAATTCTTATGGGTCAGTAAAAATAAACAAAAAATAAATTTGTTATATATCTTATCCTACCCCAGTAGTAACTAACAATGCTTGCTTTGCCACACCCAAAGTAACAGAGGACACTTTCATTAAAAATGTCAATTAAACAAACAAAATAACATCTTTTCATTTATTTTGCAATAGTTTTACTTCATCAGAAGCATTTTCATATTTTATTAGTCACATTTATGCAAATTATATGTTCTTTTTTTTTATATTAAGTCAAAAATGTTTTATTTTTTATTTATTTATTTTTTTTCATTTTTCTTTTATTATTCATATGTGCATACAAGGCTTGGGTCATTTCTCCCCCCTGCCCCCCACCCCCTCCCTTACCACCCACTCCGCCCCCTCCCTCTCCCCCCCCTCAATACCCAGCAGAAACTATTTTGCCCTTATTTCTAATTTTGTTGTAGAGAGAGTATAAGCAATAATAGGAAGGAACAAGGGTTTTTGATGGTTGAGATGAGGATAGCTATACAGGGCATTGACTCACATTGATTTCCTGTGCGTGGGTGTTACCTTCTAGGTTAATTCTTTTTGATCTAACCTTTTCTCTAGTACCTGTTCCCCTTTTCCTATTGGCCTCAGTTGCTTTAAGGTATCTGCTTTAGTTTCTCTGCGTTAAGGGCAACAAATGCTAGCTAGTTTTTTAGGTGTCTTACCTATCCTCACCCCTCCCTTGTGTGCTCGCTTTTATCATGTGCTCATAGTCCAATCCCTTGTTGTGTTTGCCCTTGATCTAATGTCCACATATAGGGAGAACATACGATTTTTGGTCTTTTGAGCCAGGCTAACCTCACTCAGAATGATGTTCTCCAATTCCATCCATTTACCAGCGAATGATAACATTTCGTTCTTCTTCATGGCTGCATAAAATTCCATTGTGTATAGATACCACATTTTCTTAATCCATTCGTCAGTGCTGGGGCATCTTGGCTGTTTCCATAACTTGGCTATTGTGAATAGTGCCGCAATAAACATGGATGTGCAGGTGCCTCTGGAGTAACAGTCTTTTGGGTATATCCCAAGAGTGGTATTGCTGGATCAAATGGTAGATCAATGTCCAGCTTTTTAAGTAGCCTCCAAATTTTTTTCCAGAGTGGTTGTACTAGTCTACATTCCCACCAACAGTGTAAGAGGGTTCCTTTTTCCCCGCATCCTCGCCAACACCTGTTGTTGGTGGTGTTGCTGATGATGGCTATTCTAACAGGGGTGAGGTGGAATCTTAGTGTGGTTTTAATTTGCATTTCCTTTATTGCTAGAGATGGTGAGCATTTTTCATGTGTTTTTGGCCATTTGAATTTCTTCTTTTGAGAAAGTTCTGTTTAGTTCATGCCCATTTCTTTATTGGTTCATTAGTTTTGGGAGAATTTAGTTTTTTAAGTTCCCTGTATATTCTGGTTATCAGTCCTTTGTCTGATGTATATTGGCAAATATTTTCTCCCACTCTGTGGGTGTTCTCTTCAGTTTAGAGACCATTTCTTTTGATGAACAGAAGCTTTTTAGTTTTATGAGGTCCCATTTATCTATGCTATCTCTTAGTTGCTGTGCTGCTGGGTTTCATTGAGAAAGTTCTTACCTATACCTACTAACTCCAGAGTATTTCCTACTCTTTCTGTATCAACTTTAAGAGTTTGGGTCTGATATTAAGATCCTTGATCCATTTTGAGTTAATCTTGGTATAGGGTGATATACATGGATCTAGTTTCAGTTTTTTGCAGACTGCTAACCAGTTTTCCCAGCAGTTTTTGTTGAAGAGGCTGCTATTTCTCCATCGTATATTTTTAGCTCCTTTGTCAAAGACAAGTTGTTATAGTTGTGTGGCTTCATATCTGGGTCCTCTATTCTGTTCCACTGGTCTTCATGTCTGTTTTTGTGCCAGTACCATGCTGTTTTTATTGTTATTGCTTTGTAATATAGTTTGAAGTCA